GGAGTGTCCTGCTCGGCCGCGTGGAGTGACGCTCGTGGCTCCGTGCCGTCTGCAGGAGGGGCGTAATTTATCGCGAGTAAAGTCGTTGCCGTCGTCACCTCCTCCCTTTGCGCGCGTCTCTTGATGTGCTGTTGTTGTGCTTGATTCCTCTGTTAATTTTTTTTTTAACTTTACAGAAAAAATGGAAAAAAATATGTTACTTTTCGGTAAAAAAAATCTCGCTTGTGTTCCTTATTTTTTTCTTCTTTTTAAAATGAGTTTTCCATGATCTTCTTCTTGGGTTGCCACTTTTTTTTTTGCAATTTGGCGATGTTTTTTGCGTGCGCGTGCCTTAGGGATGCACACACACACAGCGGCCGCTTTGAGGGAATATAACGAGTTTGGATTGCACCTCGGCGGTGTGCGTCCGAGCCGCTCGCGGCAACTCATGAGCGCGAAATAACGCGCGGCTGATTGCTCTGGGTGTGAGGAGATCGCACACACCCGACGTACAACCTGCAAACACTGGCCCGGGGCGTGGCGCGGGGCTAGCTTCGCACACACAGTATCATCTCCCGCGGGGTGTGTGTGCGCGTTGATTCTACTAAAGAATGCCAGAAGGATGTTTTCTTTTTCTTTTACTCATTCCGCCTTGCAAAGATCTTTTGCCAATCATTAAGCAGCATGCACCTTTAGTTAACGGTGTTGGGATTTCTAGTAATTTGGTTATAACTTTGCACCTCGAATCCAATGATTAAATATGAAACACCACATTTTTTTACTGCAGTAGTACACTATCTTTTCATTTGGAACAAAGTTTTCTGGTCGTCCTTTATAACCATCTTTGGGCCTTTTGAGGATTTTTTTTTTTTAAACCTAGGTGATTTTGATCATGTTTTTTTTTTTCTAACTCTCTGGACGGCGTGTTATGATGGATAGTGGCGAGCGGCCCGACCTGCCTCAACACTCGCGGCCCGCATGGCGGGCGACCCTTACCGGTCCGCCCGTCTGCCGCGACAAGTCTGCTCGCAGTTGGTGCGGCGGGTGTGCGGCTTCGTTGTGTGGGTGTTGTTTGGTTTGGATGGCAAAACGCAGCGGGTTGCCCCATCATCACCTAGGTGCTTGCCCTTCTTGGGCGAGAAGAGGAGCGTGGTGGCAAGGACACTGTCTCCGCCCTGGAGCTATCTACTTTGTGCTCTGCTCGGAAAACCATGGCATGTCGTTCGAAATAGTTCACCGTGAAAAAAAAAAGTTGAGGTAATTTTACAACTTTCCTCAAGAAACGCTGGTGTCATTGGTTTTGTCACATAAATTTAGGTTTCCTCAAGAGAAATATATGTGTAATGATTTTTTTGAAATTTCCGGAGACCCTGTTATCTTAAGTTAGATAAAAAGATAGCGTAGCCACAGTAGTAAAATTACCAGGTAGACAAATGATAGCGCGTGGGCATTTTAAGTGTCACCCCCCAAAAGTGTTGAAAACAATTTGTTGGCAGATATTTATTTCTGAGTGGCTAAAAATTAATCATATTTTCATGTTTTTTTTAATAACGATTCCTTTTTTTCTGGAAAAGTTACAAATTTTCACCGGAAACTTCCGATTTTAAAATTCCTTAAAAACAACAAAGGCGTGTTCGGTTCGTAAATTCCGACCTTGCGGAACGTAGAGCACAATGTATCTGGCGGCCGCTCACGACAATGTTGCAGGACGTCGCCTCCCTCTGGATGCGACACTATGGAGGGACACAGCCGGGGGGACCCAGCCGGCCGCCGCCGCGGCGACATCCAGAGCAAACAGTGAGAGAGATAAGCAATAAGGAAATTGCAAAACTGTCGTCCCCGGCTGATCGGCTTGCATTGTTTATGTGGATTACGAGCGGGGCACGTCAGCGGATGACATAATGACGGCCTGCCGGGTCAT